ATGCTTCTCACCGACTGAAATCAAATCAAAGCTGAATACAACCGTATTTTGAAGTATTTTCGTCTTCCGAAGAAGTGTCAAGATAAGAAATAAATGATGAACTGACTACTTTGACTTTTCTTTCTATCATATATTTGCAGAAACAAATGCATAAGTTTTTCTCAGATTTTAAGTATCTTTCCGTACTTGATTTAAAAAGAATTGCTTGAGTAAGAATAAAATTAAAAATTGTGAAAATACGTTCAGAATTTAAATTATTTGAAGTTTTTGTGTACACACACATCTATTTGACAAAGAATATATTAGTATTCGTATTCATCATTTATTCACTTATTACTTTTTCTTTCCTTTGATATCTTTAGTAACAATATAGGATAAATAATATTAGATAATTTTAGAGTTGAACAAAAAATTTTTTTGATGTATAATTCAGTATAATACAACCATACAATGGAGACGAATTAAGTAAAATGATCATAGTTCGAGTTTAATATTAAATGAAAGTAGTTAGAACGACAAATTTTTCATTTATTTTATTTTTTTGTTGAATTACACCCGTTGAAAGAGAATCAGAGGTACAAAATATGTTTTAATGGTGATTTTATTATTTTATAGTTGATTCGTTATATCTCATCTTGACTTGTTGTCATTTGTTCTTGAAAACTGCTGTTCGTCCAAAAAACTTCTATCGTATTCCACTTACATTCAATGAGTTAGTTTCATTTATTCAAATAAATCTAAAAAGTGAAATATGTTTAAACAAAATCGACAATTAAATATTACCCGTTGTCCTAAACAACGTTCATGTAAACAGAAATTACCTTGAAAAAGAGAAAATGTATCTCTCTAAAGATAGAAATGAGTCGTCTATTCATAAATATGAATTGTTTGTTTGTTTTTCTTCAATTCAGGTGTTAAAATATAGATGAGTTTGCCTATATTTTCATCTTTATAATGGTCAAGCAACAACGATTATGAATAGTTGTGAACATCGATTTTGCTCAAATATATTTTACTTTATGAATTTGTTTGAATCATCATCAAATGTATTAGATTCATCAAACAAATAAAGATAAAAGTAAAGAGCAGCGATTAGCAAATGCTTAAGAACGATCCGTTGAACACGATATATATTGAAAGAAAATACATTGAACAAATAAGCGGATAGTAACTAAGGTAAAAAGGTACAATTAAATTTGTACTTTATCATTTTGTAGTAAATAGCCTATTCAAAATTTAATTCTTTTTTTTCTGCTTAGAAAGTAGGTGTATGATAGATAAAATTTAAAAATTTTCGATTTCTACACAGTGGTGACATATAAGATCTCATTTTGTTTAATCGAATTTTATCTTTGAATGTTTCTGTTTTTTCAGAAAAAAAAATATAGCAAGAAACAACAAGAAACAAATGATACTTTTCGTCAACAAGAAGAGTTATGTATGTTATTACTGTCACTGATAGATAAAAATAAAATAATGTTAATAAGTTTGTTAATAAGTTGAAATATAACTTATTTAGTTATTTTATTGTTTTAATCTAGGTAGCAGTCAGATGTTAACTATTAGAAGTAGACATGCAGACATATTTACCGGTATATTTTACTCTTTTTTTCGATCAGATTGATTACAAAGTACAAAATATTCAATTTTTAGTTATGTGGATCAGTCATTTTTCTATAGTAAGGCATAGTAGAATTCTTCATCTTTTTTCTTTTTTACCGCAATCGCTTCTTGACAAAAACTCATAAATCGGTGATAACTAGTACCAGTATCAGTACTGATCGTGAGGCGTTTAGTAAACGTTTATTATCTAACCACTGAATTAAGAGAAAAAGGGGAAAAAGCAGCACCTAGTGCCGATTAGAGTGCTGAAAGGTGCCGTAGGGTACTGGGGGTCGTATCACAAAGAAACTTAAACCATGGGAAATGTAGTCTTAAAGTAAAGACCGAAAACTTGAGTCATTGACGCATTTTTCAAATAGCTCAGGCATTTAATGATACGATTCGACGAAAACGGCATTCTAAAGATTAGAGAATAAATATTTCGTTATTTTGCGGGTTTTTGTCCCAAGTTTGTCTCTGTTGTCAACGACTTTTACAAAGTAAACAAAGCGCTAACTTAAGTGTATTCGTAATACGGTTTAACTCCCTGGACTTAAGTCGGTCTTAAACTTAGACTTAACTTTTTTCGTGATACGACCCCCTGCCTTACAAAATGTACGATAGCGGGGTCGGATCCTTTCATCTACGAATAAACTTGGAGAAGGAAGTTTGGTTGTATTTACATCATACTGCTAACAAGACAACAATACTTTAGTTTTGATTCAAATGGAAGAAAAATAATAAAAAAAAGTTATAGTCGGGTTCGATCCCTTTACCCATCCGCCATCTTGAATTTTACGAAGTGAGAACGTTAATGATAGACTAAATCGATAGTTCTGGGTGCTGAGATGCTATACTAAAAAAAAGTGTTTTTTCCCCCTGGGAAAAAAGTGTTTTTTCCCCCTGGGAAAAAAGTCTTGTCATATCTTATTTTGTAGAGAAATATCTACGCTATATAAAATTCAGTAGTCAATAAAATTCTAGAGTGTGTTACAAAAAGCTTTTTGTAAAAGAAAGAAAAGCCGAATGGCAATCAGCAACTATCGGTGTGTGTTTAGTTATATGTTTTAGACATTCGTATTTTTCTATTATTCTCTAGGGCTGTTTTTTATAAGTCTAAAAACTGGTTTTAGCGTGTTGATTTTAGGTGATAATTTCATTTTCGAAAGAATTTCTCGTTTTTTTTGTTTTCTATTTCATGTTTTATTCGCTGATCTATTATTTATTAGTGTTAGATATTTGTTTTATATTTATATTAAAAATTAAACGAGTAATATTTATATGACGTTTATTTATCTATCGAAAAAAAAAACATTAGAAGATAAGAAGAACTTTTGTATTGCTCTAATTCATTGAAAGAATCTAGTTTGATGATTAAATTGTATTTTTTCTATCGATTATCAAAAAAGTTCCACATTGTTGATCGATCAATTTTGACTACTATATACTGAGAAATGTTTTTGATTTTTTTTTAACTCCGGCGCCTTATCCCTTCCCATTAGACAGTCATATCTACTCATAATATAAGAGAAATATCATTGTTTAAACATTTTTTTCTGTAGGAACCTCTTGTCCATTGTCAAAAGCATGATTTTTTATACTCTTTTTATTTTTTTTTAATACAATAGATATGAATTGAAAAGAGTGGGTCTAAAATAAGTATTCTAGTTCGTTGTAGTAATATAAACTCATTTTATTATTCGTGATTGCCTGTTACGTAGAACTCTATTGTTGTAAATAACTAAGTACGTTCATTGTCAAAGAACGTCCTATTACTTCTAGAATTAATTATAAATAGTAACTAAACAGAAACCATAAAAGAGCCTATAAAATGATGTGTTTTGCCCTTGACAAAAGAAATTCTTTTATTAAATGCATTATGTGGAAGAACTAGATTATGTAAGACTTAAAAACTACTGAAATTTTTATTTGATGTCTAGATATGGACATAGGTAGACATGTACACACACGTAAAAGGTTCTACTTTATTTTCTTATTTTTATTTCGTCATTGCACTCGCTCTTGCTCTCTCTCTCTCTCTCTCTCTCTCTCGATCAAATAAAAAAAAAAAGAAGAAAATATAAAAGAACGTAATTAACATTCCAATCTCTATGTGCAATAGGGCATATATAAATGTGATTAAGTTTCAAAAGAGAGACTTTTCTTTCCTTTTTATATCATGAATCGTTTTGTGCATTCTATTTCTTCTCTTCTATATTTATATAACCATTATGTTCAGATACATTTTATGTGCACACACACTCACTAAACAAAATACCAGTAAATTTACTTTTCGTAGGTGCTTTTTCTCTCATTATATTTTTTTTTTTACCGAAGGAAAACGAGTATGAGAGGAAATTATTGACAGCAGCTGATTGTTCGTACGAGAGAGAAGAGACATTAAGCATATGGAAATCAACACTTTACGTTTATAGTAGCACAGAAGTAAAAGAGAGAGAGAGAGAGAATGAAAGAAGAAAATTTCTTTTCCGTCAGAGTATGATGTTGTTTGTATTACATTTTTATACGTGTGTACATACAATTTTGTTGAACAGAAGATGAAGTAGGGGGGAAAATAATAAAAGTAATAGTTGGAGTAGTCTCAAAATTAGACGATCTGTTGTGCATTAAAAATCTATAAAATGTGGAGTTATCAAACGCCTATCCTCACTTTTTCAACGGAAAACAATATAAAGCGGCATTTAAAATGGCTTTTGTGTTAACAATTTGGTTAAATACGTCTAATGAGGTTTGTGTGACAACTGTCCAGCTCTTGAATAGTTGAATAAACACATGAAAATACGGAATATAATATTGAAAAATTGCACTGGTAACCTTAATATAATGTAAATATTTCCAAGTACTAACAGTTGATCAAAAGTATGACAGAATGTTGCGTTTTATGAAGTATACTGAAATAACTGGTTTCTTTCTTATCCTAGATCAATGCTGATGGTTGAGTGGCAAAAAGAAAAAAACTTAATAGATCTGTTGATATATCTGTTGTCTAATATTTATGAGAAAATTATTTAGAAACAACGAGAAGAAAAATACTTTTGCTCACAATTGATGACACCTCTTCGTATCAACAAGATTTGCGCATGACTTATTTTGGAATGCAAATTATGCAAATGAATAACTATCTACCTCCATTAATGACGTTTATATTACTATAGTTACTTTTGTTGTTTATTTTTAGATATGTAAACGGAGATACGCATATCGTTGTCTATATTTGTTTTCTGTTGTGTTTCTTTTTTTCTAACACGCGAATAACATTTTTCCGGTTTAAATCGATTCATTATTGATTATTTAATTGTTTATTCGTGTTATCTCTCGTATCATCTTTTTAATAAGCCAACTTGAAATAACATAAGTCGTATCGGTACGGACAACATATGGAGCTTAGGTAAGATTGACTACTTCATGGCAAAATTTCTACATATCATATGAATATCTCAGATACAGGGTGAACATTTTTTTTTTGAGTTATGGTATTGTAATACTTAAGCCTCCTCCCACTCAGAAATCTATTTTCAACACAGAACATCCGATCTCGACGCCTACTCAATAGTAGATTACAGTTCAGCTTTATATCTCGTGTTTTCCCAGAGTTATCCATAAAACAGTGATAAAAAAGTGGAGATCAGCACTCTCAAGAGCTCGTTGCCATTTTGAGTGCTAAAGCTCTCGGATTGGTCTTAAAATGTAACCAAGAGCTGTTTCTACAACTTAACAGAGCCAGATTTTTGATTTTTGACTTAATTTCTGAAAAAGTAAAGAGTTTCTGGAAGAATTAGTTATTTTTTTCTGAAGTTTTGGAACTTCTTTACTTTTTCAGAAATTAAGTCGAAAATCAAAAATCCGACTCTGTTAAGTTGTAGCTCAGTTACATTTCAAGACCAATCCGAGAATTTTAGCACTCAAAATGGCAGAGAAATCAGGGAAGTATCGACAGCTACTTTTTCACGACGAAAATAACCTACTGACGGTAGGTAGAACTAGTTTACTATGGGTTTTGGACTACGCTGAATCGAACAAGCATGTGCAAAGACATCTGCAGCATATTCATGCACTGTTTGGATTCTATAGGCAGATTTTCGCACAGAAAAAATCTCACTTTTTGTGTACACTGCTTGTAGAAAAACCTCTAGTACTAAAAAACTATAATGGATTCAAAACTGATACTATAGGACTATCCACTGATGTATAAATGTCAAAATTGATTTTTTTGAGTGAGAGGGAAGTTTTAAATGGATCAGCAGTAATTTAGCCTGATTCTATACACCATCACCAGAAATGATGCACGTTTTCATTAAATATCTTAAAATAAATTAACTCTTATTTCTGACTTTGTTTTTTAGTGCGTTGTTTTCAGTATTCTTATATACTGTCTTTCTGTAAATATATATCTATATCTATTTCTTAATTTATTATTCTTACTCTCACGCTGATGTACAGAAATTGGCTTGGTAGTCATCATCAAGTTAATGTCGTAGTACCGTCTGTTGTATCCGCGGATCAATATTCTTCGTCTTCGTCAACTAGTCAACACCATCATTTACATCATTACCATCATCCACAAGATACCTCATCCCATCATCATTCTCAAGCCAGACTTAATCATCAATCCCAACAACAGCAATTATTGCAGTTAGCTCAATTACAACATCATCATCATCATCAACAACAACAACAACATATCAGTCAAATTAATAATAATACAAGTAATAATCAGATTATAACTGGTAAATTTCTTTCTATATTAAATGTTAAAAGTGCACAGTTACGGTGTCTTTCTTCTTTAATCTTCTTCCGAACAATGTATAGACTAGTTCTTCGTTATAATCTGATCATTTCTGCAGTGCACGGACTAGAACTTAGCTGTCAAACTTTTTAGTTTCTCTCTAGTTCGACAAAAGACATATTTCAGAGATCTCACAATCAGTTTCAAAAATCAAAAATATCTGTCACTTTTCGTTCAATTTGTTGGATGCACATTCAAGTTCAAAATGGCATCCATTGCTATCACAAAATAAACGATGAAGATTGTCTGAGTTAAGACGATTATTCTCGACACAAAAAAATAATACTGCTGATTATTTCTTGAGTAACATATGATGCAACCCAACAACGAAGTCGGATACCTGCTGTTTTTCTTATTCTGAACCTAAGGCTTGAGCACATCTTTTCTTAAAAATAAGCTTAAAAATTGTTTCCACAAAGTAACGATTGATAATGGGTATTTTCATTAAAAATCTTAAACAGTCTACTTCTAGCGAAATAACCCATTTTACGCTATTCTGATGCATAGTTGCCAAAAGTCCTATTTTAGCTGGGTTACATGAACATATAGTTCAAAGAATGAAAGTAACCGTTTCCAGAAGGACACGTATGATTCAGGATATTTCCTTTGACTACATTCATAGGTTCAACGTGTAAAGCAGCTTTTATACAAGAGTTTATGCTGAAGTATTTTGAGTGAGTTATGAATTTTTCAATTGTGTATGAAAGTAGGTTAAAATGGATAATTAGTTATTTCATCTAACGTAGATTTTTAGTTGGTTTCTAAATTTTTTAATGAGAAAGAACCTACTAGAGTTCTCCGAAAATTTTGGCGTTATACTTAGAAACGAAGCTCTCTGTTCATGAGAAAAATCAATATATTTGCATCTGAAATGTTTCAGTTTTCTTTTATCGACAGTATTTACCATTTTGTTCACTTCACGCGTTTAGTCAAAGAGAAGTTCTTTGACTCTAAGTCGAGTGCAGCAATAAAAACGGCTTTTCAATTTTCGTAAGCAATTGGTCAACGATCTATTAAAGTTGCCTAAGTTTCTTGCTTCACTCAATAAATACCGAATCATATCGAACGTCCTTCACTTGCTGAACTTTTCTTGTATATGTTTAGATCCGTCGTCTAACGCTGATTATTTTCTTCATATTCAAAATTCCACTGTACCAAATTCAACAAATCTAAGTAAAAAGCAACGTTTAGAACAATTAAATTTATTAACAACAGCTGCAGCGGTGGCTGCTGCCTCCGTACCCACCTCTATTCTTAATGATACATCAAATCTAGTTAGTGATTCTCCACCTCTTCTAACCACCAATGTTGCAAATCATCGTACACAACCATCGAAAGTATTAAAACAACAGCAACAATCATCTTCGAAAAAGCAACAGTTACAATTGATCGATAATGATCAGCAACGACATGATGGTGGAGAAGCTGTTACTCAAGGATCGTCATCGTCTCAAATTTCCTCTACGACAACAGAAGACGATTCAACAGCACGTCACCATCATTATCATCATCACCATCACCATCATCATTTGTTGTTGACATCTCCTGTACCGTCACAAGTACCAGAACTAATAGGTGCGTATACAAATAAAGTACAAATAAAAGAAAAACAATAAGTTAAAAGTGATGAAAAGCTTGTCAAAGACGAGAGATATTGCAAATTATGTATTGAAATTCTTCGTTGAAAAAATATTCACTTTGATCCTTTTCAGAAATCAACCTTTCAAAATTTGCTAAAGTCATCTGAGACTAGTTGACTGTTTATTATCATGTAAAGGAGACAATATTGTACAATTTCTTATGCAGAATTTTAACTGAGTCTTGAATCTGCAGCATGATGTTAGTTAGATAAATATTGGTAATCACTTCGATCGTTTTGTAACATTTAGAACTTGTTCATATCAGTTTAACTATTTCATGCAGCTTATGTAAATTGTGTTTTCGATTTAGATTCATCCAAAATTTCTGTTCAAAGTTTAAAGCGCAAACACGACGATTCAATTGATATGACTGTTAAACAGCAACAACAAGAATTAGTCACATCTTCATCATCAGCTACTTCTTCTGTATCGGCGGCTGTTGTTTCACAAGCTTCAATAATAAGCACAAATGCAAATGGAATTCATTATGAAACGGGAGCGATCGGTAATGTTCAACCTGCTCAACAAGTTCATACAACCACACAAAAATATCAGCAGCAGCAGCAGTCGCAACAACTATCAGTTGTTGCCATGCAAGAACAACAAGATCAAAAACAACCAGTTGCACCCACAAACGACGGTAATTAACAAAAAATTGTCTTATTATTTAATAAAATTTGATTTATCTATTTATTCTAGGTGATTATCAACTGGTTCAAAATGAAGTGTTGTATTCAATGACGAATTCGTACGAAGTATTGGAATTTCTTGGTCGTGGTACATTCGGTCAAGTTGTTAAATGTTGGAAAAAGGGTACCAATGAAGTAGTAGCTATAAAAATATTAAAAAATCATCCGTCCTACGCGAGACAAGGTCAAATTGAAGTATCAATTTTGTCACGTTTGGGTCAAGAAAATGCTGATGAATATAATTTAGTTCGTGCCTATGAGGTGTTTACACATAAAAATCATACATGTTTAGTATTTGAAATGTTGGAACAAAATTTGTACGATTTTCTAAAACAAAATAAATTTTCACCTTTACCATTGAAATGTATTCGACCAATTGTGCAACAAGTATTAGTTGCTCTACATAAATTGAAACAGTTGGGTTTAATTCATGCTGATACAAAACCAGAGAACATTATGTTGTTGGATCCAATTCGTCAACCATATAAAGTCAAAGTAATCGATTTTGGATCGGCTAGTCCAGTATCGAAAGCAATTACGTCAACATATTTACAATCAAGATATTACAGGTACTTTAGACAATCTGATCTATCTCTATCAAAAATATATACAATTGTAGAAATTCTCAATGGAATAGTTCACTTTATTTGTCCATTTTAGAGCCATTGAAATTTTACTTGGATTACCGTTCTGTGAAGCAATTGACATGTGGTCGTTGGGTTGTGTTATCGCTGAATTATTTTTAGGTTGGCCACTCTATCCGGGCTCATCTGAATATGATCAAGTAAAAATTTTCTTCATAGTCACATTTTCTTCTCTTATGTATCTTCATTTCTATTTAGATACGTTATATATCTCAAACTCAAGGTTTACCACCTCAATCAATGTTATCAAATGGAACAAAAACGCAAAGGTTTTTCAATCGTGATGAAAGAGAATCACCCTATCCATTTTGGAGATTAAAAGTTCGTATATGATCGTAGTGTTTATAATCAATAAATACGTTTATCTTATTTTAGACACCCGAAGAACATGAAGCTGAAACAGGTATCAAATCGAAAGAAGCAAGAAAATATATTTTCAACTGTCTCGACGATATGGCACAAGTATGTGTATTCAAGTTTGTCTCCTTTTAACTCCTCTATTACAATCTTTTTATTTAGATCAATGTTCCATCAGATTTGGAAGGTGTTGAATTAGTGGCAGAAAAATTAGATCGTCGTGAATTTGTTGATATTTTAAAACGAATGTTACATTTGGATCAAGAATATCGCATAACACCAGCCGAAGCTTTGAATCATCCATTTGTCACAATGGCACATTTAGTCGATTTTGCACATTGTAACAAGTAAGTTGAGCCTTTTGTAAAGTAATTTCGTGTCATTTGTAACACTATAAGCTCACTGCTAAAGTATTCATTGTTTTATTTATCATGTTTAGTGTTCGCCATAGTGTTCAAATGATGGAAGTTTGTAAACGTTCAAAACCGCCAACTGTACCAGTAAATTTGGTATCAGATTTGAACAGTAGTTTTCTAAACGGTTTTAATGGACAAATGACATTTGCTTCCGCACAACAAATGGCATTACAACAACAACAGCAAGCGGCACAACAACAAGCACAACAAGCACAACAATTACAAGCTTTTCGAACAACACAAGTACGTGAAAGAACATACCATCATTTATTTTGTTAAAATTAAACCTAGTAACATTTTAAATAATATTTGACAGAAGCAGTCATAATTGTCGAATAAAATAACTATTTATTCTTTATTAGATAACATACCGGATGTTTTGGTCTCTTCTTAGACCGAAACGTCTTCAAAAGAAATATAACACCTTTCAATTAAATAATGTTTTAGGGTCGTGGTGGTGATATTTATGTTTCGTATCCAATTCCAGCTGCAGCTGCATCTTATATTCCGAACATAGCATTGACTCAACAACTTGCTCAAGCGCAAGCAGCCGCAGCACATGCAGCCAGACAACAAATACCAGCATTATCTTTGATACCACCATATCAAGGTATGTTGTTGTTGTTGTTGTCGATGAACTGAAGTTTAGTATCATCAATTACTATTATTTTCTATTTTTAGATCTTGGTTCTCCGTTGTTTGGTACTCAAACAGCAGCTGCAATGTTATCAATTCCTACACAGTTACCATTAGGTACTTTACAGCCAATTGGAATACCTATTTCATTACCAATGGTTCAAGCTGATCAAACAAGACATTTTCTAATTAACGTAAGTTCCACAGACAGTTATAGAATATAAGTAATAATTAAAAAAATTAACTTGATGAGATATTTTTACTTTGATTGAAAGAAAGCATTTGTCCATATATGTTAAATAATACGTACACTAATGAACTTATTCCCATCAAAAACATAAAAATATGCTATATTTACTTAATGTATTACTATAAAAGTTGATTGTCTCTTGCATCTTTTACTCAGGATGTTGTCTTTACTTTGTCTAGAATAATGCCACTGCCACGTGGGGTCCAGCGAATCAATTTCTTGTTCCACCTACGTTTGCCGCTGCGGCCGCTGCTGTTGCTCGACGAAATAGCGTACTACTACAAGATGCAGATCAACTATGGCGTGCACCATTAATGTCATTTGATCCAAATATTGATTCTACTCAACAACAGCAACAATCGACGTCGAATAAAGTATCAGCTGCCACCGCTTTATATCCATTAGAATTAAATGATTCAAGAATGTTTGCTCGTATAAATCATCAACATCAACCAACATCATCAACAAATTCTTCTAATAGCTCTAATAATCGCTGTCAAAGGTAATATTTTTTTCGATGTTGTTCATGTTTCCATGTTTTTTTCCATATTTCTGCGATATTTTTCATTATGCTTCTACGTGTGTTTTTATAGGTGTACCCTTTTCTTTTTTGCGCGTTTATTTTATTATGGCTTTTAGTGTCATTTTCCATGTATTAGGTTCAATTTATTCATTTTTAGAGATCATGTTTTCTCTATGAATCAAATGAGCGCTACTCTTCGATTAATTTTCTAAGTAAGACGATCATATGATGCAACAGTTTTATTTAGCGTTTCTGCATTCTGTTGAGTGATGTGATGTTCATATGTTATCCTATGCATAAAATGATTTTTTTAAACAGTTATACTTTTTCTCGATAGAAGAATTTTTTCCGTTTCAAGTCTTCTGTAGAAAACAAATCTTATTGGGTAGAGAACTAGAAGCTTTATATGAGAAAAGTGGCTTTGGATAAGTTAGATTTTTAATTTTATTTTTAATATTTCTTTCATATTTCATGTAAAATTCTCAATTGAGAATTTTGTTGCTGTTTATTGATGCTTTAAATTTGTTGAAAAACAAAAGAAAAAGCTTTTTAATATTTATTAGAAGTGTGAAAAATGATGGTCCCATATTAATTACATTCGATTTGTAGACTAGCGTAATTCATTGATTACGAAGTCTTATTCAATCTAATAGTCGACATTTTCTATACTTGGTTTTCCAGTGAAGGTCGTATGTGTTCATGTTTTTAAGATAAATATTGTTAAGTCTTCCTTGTGATCTTACTCAACCTCCCGGTGGTGTATGTATGCTGATGGTACGACATGATTGCACACACATACAGCTAAAATAATAACAACAGCGGGTTTATATCTGATAATCTTTTGTTAACTACTATCTTCTTCTTTGATCTTTTGCCTATAGCTTATTTAATTACTACTTCTTGCTTCTTTATGCTATTTCAGGTATGTTCCAAAAGATGTGAACATAAACAATAATAATAACAATAGTAATCGACGATATAATTCTAATAACGATCAAACTAAAATTAATAGTAGTATCAAATTGATTAATCAATTAAATGCTCAACAACAACAGCAACAACATTACATTCAACAATCTTATCCAGTACAACAAACTCAACAGCAGCAATATGTTGGTACAACAGCGTCAACTTCATCCTGTGGATCATCTAGTTCTTCATCTGTGGCATCTATGCCTCTGTCTCAACACGATAATCCACAAAGACCTGTTTCTGTTATTACATTATCGTCCGATTCAGATGATGAAAAAGATATAACACCAACACATCAAAGGTATACACTCAACTCTCATGTAGTCCGTCAGTCATGAGTATTCTCAGAATATTACATGAATTCTGTTAAAAATAACACAGAATACTTGGTTTTTTGACAAAAAGTAGCATTATGTACGCTTAAAAAGTAATAATATTGATGGATAGTTTATGGGTGATATTTTATGATGTAATGCTTGCTGAAACTCGCTGTAAGTGATAGACTACCATCAGAGTTCTGGAGATCATACAGAAATCCGCAGCAACCAGATGTCACACTCACCCATTGCTTTAGGCTGAAACCAACTCAGAAATCGACAGCAAAATCTAAGAGTTCTCTGGAAACAATCTAAAGAATCAGAATCTTCTGGATTAAGTGTGAACTTCTTTCTGTATCATCCTAGACTGAAGTTAGGCATGCACCAGTTACAGTTAACTGTAAAACTGCTGATAACTGTAACTGTAACTGCTCATAACTGTAGGCAAATATTCTAGAGTGAGTTAGTCTTCTATGATTTGCATACATTTTAGAATAGAGACATCCTTAAAATGTATGCAAATCGTAGAATAATTCGTTCTAGAATATTTGCCTACAATTATGAGCAGTTACAGTTTTACAAGTATAGTTAGCTGGTAAAAAACTGTAACTGGTGCATACCTAACTGAGGTTAAGAGACTTTTCTCCTGATGAAAATATTTTTATTTTCTTCCTGCGCAGCCGCCATCTTATGACGAACAGACTGACATTTTTCGTTTTATGATCTTTAACTTACAGTCAAGGAAACTACTATAATTTCACATTTTTTTTTGTATTTTAGAACGGTGTTTAATGCACCTCCAATTATTTCTAATCCGTCATCAAAGCATAAACATCTTCAACAAGTGCCTGTTAATGATCATAAATCGCATGATAATAAGCAGCAAATAAAAAAAGAACGACTTAGTATAGATACAACAAATAATATTATACAGCAGGTAAATGAGCATGTGTAACTCGTATAAATAGAGTATTTCTAATGAATATTTTTCTTTTCAGTATCAAATGCCGTCCAGTCTTTTATTAAATCCGTCGTCAAATTCAAAGCCTGAGCCAACATTTTACGGTAAGCTAACAGCTTCTTAACTACATTGATTGAGCTAAAGGGTGACAGAATAATAATCTAATTACATATAAAAATGAGATGGGTGCACGGTGATAATTATTCTTTTTCTATCTTTTCTTGCTTATTTAATTGTTCATATTATAATTTTTTTCTCTATATTTTCTTTGGTATGTATGTAGACTATCAGCAACATCAGCACGATTGTCGACAACAAGCTCTTCTTGGTTCGCTTGTTTATAATGATCCAAGGTATGATGATTATTTCTTTTATGATTATGCTTCTAGCATGTAAAAGAAAGGGCATGGCTTTTAACAATATTATCAGTTGATATAGGAAGGATCAAATAAATTTATATGACAAAATTTATATTGATTTTTATATTTTTTAGACACATGAGTTTATTTTTGTCACCAAATAGCTTTGTAACAACTGCCAGTCATCATGCACATCATCCATCGGCACATCAACTATATTCATCAATGAGTCCAACAACAGCCGCTGCTGCTTTAGCTGCTGCAGCTGCCGCTCAAACAAATAGACATCATCATCATCGACGTTTATATTAATCGTTTTATATTTCATTTTCTTTTTTTGTACATAGTTACCTTTTTGTTGAATGTGCATGTGCGTTTATCTAACGTGAATAATATGTTCTCTGAAACAAAACAAATAGTATGACTTAAAAAATGTGTGACTTTTTTTGTTCTTATTTGTTTTCTTGCACTTTTTTTTATTTATATGTTTAAGTCAAGCACTTTGTGTAGTACACTCGTTTTCTTTTTTTTTCAATGAACAGATAAGTGCAGTTTTGCCTTTGACACACAAAGTTTTATTGTGCAGAGTGCTTTTACAATTGAGAAACGACATATGTTAGAAGCCGAGCAAGCAATGCATAATAATAACTTTTAAGTATACCTTTTCTTCATGATGTTTGATGCTTTTTTCTTTTTTTTCTTTCTTCGGTGTAATTAGGATGTGACGATATTTTATTCGTTTCTTTTTTTTTTTGTTTGTTTATTGCACGTTCTTCATTTATATTCTTATTACTTTTGCTGGCTTTCTTCTTCTTTACAGATTCTTTTTGTCCTCTTTGTTTATTTAAGAGAAATTTAAAAATATGAAGAAGAAATCTATGAAAAATTGGTCTCAATAACAGTTTCTTTCTTTCACTTTCTCTGTCTCTCTCTCTCTCCTTAGGTGAACGCTTTGCATTTTGTTTGTTTGTGTCTTTCATTTTTTGTTGTTGTTTCTTTGTTGTACATTTTACTATGAAATAGAGCGCGCGATGTGTTGTCGTGTGTTGTATATAGCCGGTTTTTCTTCTTCTTCTAGTTCTTTGGACATGGTTTGCTTTTTTTTCTCAATATGATGATTTAATTGTAGTGTGTTCTCTGTTTTTTTTGTGAAAAACTTTATTTGTCTACTTATACTGTATTTCAGGGTTGCCAACTCTCACCCAATTTCTTCGACTCTGAGATTTTTTTTTGTCCAAATGATTTTTTACTTTTTGCTAGAGTATAGAAGGAAAGGGACCTTTTTTTTTTTGAAATAGTTTGACACATTCCTCTAAAGACAGAAGATCAATAATAATCATCAACAATATCTAAAACGTTTACCTTCCAGTAGAGGAGACTTGAGATATAGTTGAAAAGCGAACGCTTGTCACGAATAACGGTTGGTAAAAAAGTTTCCGTCCTACTTCGATCGTATAGTTTTTCTGCTATGCTATGACTCACACTTTTCTCATTCAGTTTTACAGCAGATTTCAGCTTATTTTCTACTTTTTTTCAATTGATGTTTCACAGTTGTCTACACTATGGCTTTCTATGATTAAAAAATATTTTGAAAAGAAATGTCGTCAAAAATCTTAGGTTTTGAATAAAAATCTACTCATTTTAAATAGCCTAGCAATCTCAACTGTGTGAGATATCAGTTTACATTCGTAGAAATTGAATGCTGTTACTAGAACATCTAATTCACTTTTAAAGATCGCACATGATTACTTTGAGTAAATGTTGAATAAGTTGAAGAATTTCTTGAATTGAATCATATCCATATGATCTAAATGATTCAAAAGCCTAGAGAACTGTCTACAACGTAGAAAGCTTTTTTCCTGTAAAAGTGAAGATATTTTGACTGAATATCAACAATAATCATCCATTATCGGAATATAATAACAGCTAATGTGTAAAGACCATAAAATTGACTATTTTTGACAGGCATAAAGACATAGTCTTAATTTTAGAAAATCACTGTGTAATATGTTTATTTTTAATTTTGTGGAAAAAATAAGTAAGCAAAGTCGAATGTGGCAGTGTCAGTTTTAACCTATATGAATTACTTGCTTGTCCAAAGTATTTTTTGACGATATCTCTATTTCTCTATCATTCTGGAGGAAACTTTATGCCTCATTTGAAAGAATAGAAAATAAGCTGAAATCTGTATAGAATGATAAAAGAAAATGTATGTAGGAATAAAGGTGAGTATGGAACAAAGGTGTTCAGCAGAACCTTCCTTAACATCCGTCATTAGTTTATATTGACAACTGTTCAATTTTTTTTTCAGTTTATCTTGTTTAAAAAAAATAGTTGATATTATTTCAATGGGTGTTAGAATAGGCTGCTTTTTTTCTTGAGAAAAAATGCATTGACTATGAAAATGTAATGTAGAGGTCAAAAGAAAAGCTTATACTTATTTACAATAATACCAGCGAAAAAAAGTGTCGTTCAATTTTTTTCCTGAATTCTTCCATTTCTGAGAAGTAGATCCATTTCGATCTGTAGATCTTTGCAGTTGGCAACCCTGTTGTATGTATGTACACAATTTTATTAACACAAACAAAATTAAATATTCATTCGTTCATATATATAAGCGTGTATCTAATAATAAATAAAATAATCAAATAAGTACAATAGATGGCTTTTTTCAATCATTTAGATTGATGAACAATATTTGCCTTGGTAAATCAATATTTCGTGGTCTTATAAGAGGATTTTTCTTTCTCAATATCCCTCATCTTGGATATCTGTTTTACATCTCTTAGCAATGAAAAAAAACATCTAAAAGTGCATACTTCTTTGAGAACGATTTTTTTCGGATGAATAGAAAAACACAAAGACTTCTAAATATTTTTCGACACAGTTTTTGCTACATTATACATTGAAAACACGTCTGGCGAATTGGAATGATCCACCATTGAATTTATTGTTGTTGATAGTTTTTTTTTACTAAGTTTTTAAATTTTTGAATACTTTTCAGTAGCCGCTTTTATTTTCTGCCATGTGATAGACTCCAACTAATTTCTTTCACCCAGAGAATTGTTTCATCAATATTTTTAATAACTCTCTGTTTAAATAAGAATCTCAACTCAACCTTAGTACAGAATTGACCCAGTTGTTGAGGTTTTATCAAAATCTTAAAAATCAATTCTTCTTTTATCTTAACTCTATGGAATGTGATCTTAATTTGACCATTGACTTAACATCCATCCAGAATTAACCCTTTGAGGACACCGTGGTACATACGTTGTACCACCTATTTTTTAGTAAAGAAGAAAATGTTTTGTTTACATTAAACTATTAGACCTATAAGGTCATATAGGTCATAGGTGGACCCATTTGTCATCTCATACTTATCTTTTCTTTCTTTCTACCTCTCATATAGATTCTTTTAACCCTTTCAGGATTATTAAGAGCCATGATAGCTAAGGACTTCTAATTTTGTGTGTCATAGCTCTTATCAAATCCTGATCACCCACTAATATAACTTTGGGACTCTTTTACTGGATAGTTTGTGCGATGTAAGCGATTTATTTTTTTGTCCATAAAGTAGTAATAGCTTCTGACCTAAGAGATATGAAAACTTTTTCTTTTTACAAAGGTCTAGCCACGACTCTACTCTATCGACGATATGGATTTCGTGAGTTGGCTGTTAGTAGTCAGTAAAATACAACTATTTTACAGATGAGGATCGTTTTTTTTTTGTTGAAAATTCGAGATTCTCTGTGAAAAAAATTCATAATTCCGTCTAGGAAGTGATTGCACGAAAGCGGTGACCTAGCGTGCTCAATTTTTTTTTTAAATTTAATTCTGATTTTGTCAGTTTGTAGCCCTACTAAAGTTGAGTCTATTCTGAAATTTTTAGCCTATGTTTCATTGATCGGGAATAAATATTTATCTCGACACATCACTCTATTTCACAGCATTAATGACTTTTTGTATGGTCGACCATACAAAAAGTCATTAATGCTGTGAAATAGAGTGATGTGTCGAGATAAAATATTTATTCCCGATCAATGAAACATAGGCTAAAAATTTCAGAATAAACTCAACTTTAGTAGAGCTACAAACTGGTAAAATCAGAATTAAATTTAAAATAAAAAATTGAGCACGCTAGGTCACCGCTTTCGTGCAATCACTCCTAGAAGCAATCACTTTGACTTCAAATTTGCAGCAAAGACTCTATAGTATCTGCAGACTACCTAGCCAAAGTATGAAGATTAACTATTGTGTGGTTCTGGAAATTCATTGAAGAGGAGTACCGACTTTTATCAGTAAGATTACACACTCACCTCTAACTTAGAGAAAAATTTTCAATAAAATTTTTTCGTTCGAAAACCGTATGTGCAGTATGCTATTCGACCCAGTTTTTTTTTATGACATAAATTATTTATTTTGTTCCTTAAAGGTTAACAAAAGAGAATATATAGAATATTACAGCAAAAAGAGGTATTGATTTTTTGACATTAATAAAATTGAAGAATAACACATACATAAACCATAGTTTAGTTTTAACAAAAAAAAAGCTTTGTTCTTCTATTTACATGTACGTTTTGTTGACATCATAAAAATAAAAAATAGAACAACAAAACAAGAGAAAAAATTTGATCTCGTAGTTACGCAAAACTAGGTGATCATGGGAAAAATTTAAGAATAAATTACTCTAGGACAGACGAAGAAGTTTTATAGACCTTGAATTGCGTTTTCTGTACATTTTGAAACGTGAGCCAGTCAAGTTTCGTATGATATGCCTTTATAGTTAATCTATTAGGAAATTTTGAATTTTTTCTAAACTTCATTGATTTATAATACAACTTACTCGGAGAAGTGGCAATTAAAAAAGCTGTCCAAGTTTGTTGGTAGAGCACAGCATCTAAAGATTCTTCCAGCTGTTTAGCAAATTTTATCCAGTAATTAAAAATATGGCCTTTTAATGATAATTCCCTCGATAGTGTTAGAGATATTCGACCCAGTTTTGTCCGCTGATCTCAAATATGTTATTAGTTTTGCTTGAAAATATATGGGGAGTGAAAAGGGCGCAGTCTTTGGTGCGAATTAGAAGTCAAAGTGATACTCCTAGACGGAATTATGAATTTTTTTCGCAGAGAATCTCGAAAAAAATCGCTTACATCGCACAAACCATCCAGTAAAAGAGTCTCAAAGTTATATTAGTGGGTGATCAGGATTTGATAAGAGCTATGAGTATAAGTGGCCAGGATTTTGTTAGTGGCTTGACGTTGTCCCAAATTTTTTTAAAGTGGTAGACATTAGCGCAGACTAGTGTGAATTATAAAACTGTGAGTGGTTGGACAAAACCAGTTAGTGGATGGACTGAGTCCACCTAAGTCTGCCCAGTGGCTACGCTACTACTATACGTAATATGAGAGTACGCTGTTTCAATGCACCGAATGTCTGCACCATCTATATTCTGTCGTAATAATAAAAATATCAATAAAAATTCTTATTTGAAAGTGTCAACATTTAAATGAGAATCGAAAAACATTCTATACTGTTTCACCTAAACTCTGTAGTCAAGTTAATATAAATTATTTATTTGATATATGTATCATCCAATCAATAACGAGGGTGGAAAAGAGAACAAAAAAAACATTGTTTATTTATTTATTTTCATTATATATCGACAAGGTTATTTCGGTATTTCATAGTTTCTTTTATTCTTATCTTTCGCGATACCACATGTTTCACTTTTTTTTATTAGTTGTACTTGTAGAAGTATTTCTTTATTTTATTGCGACGTTCCTCTTCTCCTGCTTTATAAAGATAATAGAAATGATGTTTTTTCTTGCTTTATACTTTTCATTTTAGATTAAGTACACGAGCGTATGTCTATGCATAAACAAGCAGTGGTATCATCAAAAATAACTCAAAAAATGGATTCAAATCCAAAAGACTATAAAACTAAAGTATGTTCATTTGGCATTTAATTTTTGTTGACGGATGTTCATCAGATGAGAAATTCATTCGTTGCCGCTTTATTTGATTTGGGTAGTTAAATTGTTGTGAGATCAACCACATTTGACATTAAAACAGACATAAAAACTAGCGGTGTAGTCAGGATTTTGTTAGTGGACGGGCGTTGTCTCACTTTTTTTCAAAGTGGTAGATATTAGCACACAATAGTGTGAATTATCAAACTTTTAGCGGGTGGGCTGAGTCCATCCCAGCCCACCTGGTGGTTACACCACTAATAAAACTTTAGATTAAAATTTAAATCGTTTAGTTTCATTTTCATTATAATTTTATTCGACGATATAACGAGGATTTGGAGATCTATCTTAAGTTGAACACGTTTTTTTTGACAGCATCAGATTAAACAAGTTCATATTGAAGAAACATTTCGGAACTAACGAACAGGTGTTTTTGAGGATAAGAAGTTCTTAATATTTGAAAAGCTGAAAAGTTCAGAAACTCTATTAAGTTTTATCTCAATTTGAAAACGTGTCCGTTCGTTCTGACAATGTTTTCATATGAGCTTCTGTTATCTGACGCTATCAGAAAAAATTCTACTCGACTCTCTGGAGACTCGATTTTCAGCAGTAATTTGAAGACCTAGTTCCCGGGACGGACGTTAGATTCATGAGTATGATCAAAAATAACCTTTTGAAAAACTGTACTTTAATGTAAAATCGATTGACAATTGAAAGAGTTTTATTGTAAATAATTTGCTGATTTTCTCATTTCGTTCTATATTTTGGGAGAAGTTCATATGTTCTACACTTCTAAACTGAGAGAAATCGAGAGGCTGTTACAAGGTTTTTCTCTCAGTCTTCTTCGGTATAAACTATAGATGATTTTTAGAGTGAAATGACCGTCCATATGAAATTTCAATTATTGCGTCAAGCGATTGATGTGCGGGAACAAGAAATTTTAAAACTTGTTGAAAAACATTATAGTGAGAATAATAACACTTCAGACACTAAGTTTTTGGCATTCTTTGATAATCAAATTCAATTGGTACATAACGCTGTACAAAAATTATCATGTGAAACAATGCAACCGGAGAGTGATTATACTGTTGTACAATCGTATGAATATATGACTGTTGATGATACATCTTCATCGTCTTCATCAAGCAGTAGTTCACAAAGTAGCAGAAAACCGGAATCGAAGAAAAAAAAGTCATCATCAATGTCTAATAAAATGAAACGTTTCGAACAACGGTTAACACAAATTGAACAACAAATGAAAGCACCCACTTCGATTCCACAACAACGACAATCGGTAGAATTCGGGAATAAAGACAAACGTAAGTTTTATTTGAAAAAGTTAATACAGTATCGTACATACGAAAACGTGCATGTTAATATTGGAATAACTACAGGCAAGAACATTGCATCTAGGACTGTGACAGTTACCAGTTACTGTTACCACCGTTACTCGGTAACTGTAACTGCTGAACAGTTGACGTTCTTGGTAACAGTAACGGATAAACAGTTACCGTACAAGTAACGATAACGACCAGTTACAAGTAACGGTAACTGTTCAGTATATCTTTCAAGAGTCAAATCTCTAAATATCTAGGTATCCAGGGTGGAAGTTCGTAGCCTCACCCTCAGCCTGGATACCTAGATATCTGACTCTTGAAAGATATACTGAACAGGTACCGTTACTTGTAACTGGTCGTTATCATTACTTGTACGGTAACTGTTTATCCGTTACTGTTATCAAGAACGTCAACAGTTCAGCAGTTACAGTTACTGTAATGCTAATGGTACCTGTCACAGCCCTAATTGCATCATGACACAGTGCAATTTTTTTTCAGGTGCCCGACTCAAAGCATTTTCTTTGCCTATCAACTCTGGCCAAAATTTAGTCGGAAAAAGAGATGTCATCAAAAGCGAGTAACGATGACAAATTCAGACTAAAGCCGCATGCATTTATTCTTGTATGTAATAGTCGAAAAAAACTTTCTATTCGAGGGCAGTAATGTTTGGTCCACACCGATATTTTCTCACTCTATAAAAAACGGCTCAAAGTCTAAAAATTCTAGTTGCATCTCTGACATACGCTAAACATACTTTGCCATATTACAGCTGATTGTCAAAAAATTCACATTCATAACAGGGGCGTACTTAATGGAGGTTTATGAGAATGATTACTTTCAGAAAAGCTTCTGTTTTATGTCCATCGTTCTTCAAAAAAATATCTGTTTTGAAAGAACGAAAACATTTTTCTGACAGGACCACTCCTCTGTTCTGACATGCTAGGTACGCTCGTGATTCATATTAACTAGAGAAAAGTTTGTCATAGATGAATTTCTCATTTTTGACGATTTTAAGGATTTCTCGTTTCAAGATTTGTTATTTAATAACTACAGCATTATTTAAGGTAACAACAACAATTCCTCAAAATGTCATCAACAGTCTGGTATCGAATTAATCCGCTCAAAACCGTTAACTGTTTGGATTAAAAAATCCATAAATAGTTTACTATCAACAGCTAAAAGAAATGAAATTTCTTGTCAACAACATCTACCGGGTGTCAATTATCTTCTATCTTTACCTTTGAGTGCATTCGTATCTCGAACAAAAACATCACCGATGACTACAATTGAGAAAAATTTAGAAAATTTAAAAATAAATAATAATAACAATAACAATAACAATATGTTGAAACAACAATTACAACCGATTAAAAATGAAAAATTTGAATTATTAGATAATGATAATAATTTATTATCGGAAAATGAACGGTAAGTAAGATATAGAATTAGACAACTTGTAAATAAGATAAAATCAAAATATATTTTCTTTTGAAATGGACAGACTATGATTTTTTCTTTAATTGATTATCTCTCTTATTACTTCATAAAATAAATTTATTTCATCATCGTGAGACAGAGATGGATGAGTACAACAAAATTTTACTTAATACAAGAGATATTTAAAAAAAAACTTATTTTTCAACAACAAGGAGTTCTAAGAGATTTGAATAATTGTTTCTAACTCTTATTTTTTCTTTATAGCATGAAGTTTTTAAAAAAAGCCTATATCTTTTTTGGGAAATGTCGATGGGAGTTTTTTCATTAACATTTTTAAAATCAAGTACTCGAGTATTTCAACAACAACAAAAAAAGTCACGAATACGAGTATCCTAAAATTTGTACTCAAGTACACGGGTAAATACTCGTGCTCGCCCATTTCTGATCTGAGACAACAATTAATAAATTGCCAGTTATTGTTCAAATATTTCTAATAGTTCATTTTTTGTTTTACAATGTTAATTTAGCTATTTTTTTTTCTAGTCGAAAATGGTTATGTACGATTAATGATGGTCAATTTTGTTCAACATCAAAACCATCTATAATTTCAACAACTCCAATTATTTATTCAAAAGATTATTGGATTAATAATAATAAACAAAAAGAACAACATCAAAATTTATTTCGTCCATGGTTAGCAGACAATACAAATAAACTTTCGACAACTGTCGATTTAAATGAACATCTTCAACAATGTTCAGAACGTGTTAAAAAATTACACAATGACTATTTAGTAGCCATTGAAAAAACAACAATATCACAACCTCCTGTTGAAAGTACATCAAAATATTCTCAATTGACACAGGTTCTTCCTCTACCAGCAAAACATTCTTCAATTGACAAATTAGCATCAGTAACAACAACAACAACAACAACATTACCCGCAGTCAAATATCCTCTACTATCATCAACCTTACCAACGGCAACGAAAGAAACATATAGTTCAGTATTAAACGTAATGGATACAATGAAAAATATGCCAATAAATGAATGGATTTCAAAAAAATAATAACAACAGACACTTCTTTTTCTTCTTCTTCATCTTCGATTTCTTGTATACTAAGTTAAGAAGTTATTAATGCATTTTCTCTTAAGATATGTGTACAGAATATTCTACAAGTGAGAAGATATATTGTACACATTTTTGACTGAACAGTTTTTACAGAATGTTTATCATATTAATCTTCATGAATCCAGTGTACCGAAGGTTTATAAATCAACTGACTAGTTAACTTTTTTAATCAGATTTTATTCAAGCTAAAACATACGTTTTTGTTGTTGTTGTTGTTATTGCAATTCACTATTGACTCAACAAAAACATTTGTTTTTGCTTATTACATCAGGTTTAGTTCTATAAGTTTATTGCTCTTCTTTGTATACTCTTTACTCCTTTTTCGTCTGTTTGTAATGATAATTGGCATTCGTATGTGTCATAATCGAAAAAAAACCGAAAGTAGTTTAAATAATAATTGTGTCCAGTGGCTCTTTTTGTTCTTTCGTGCAACTTTATTTTTCATGCAATAAAACGTTTCTTAATGATATTAGTATTGTTCATGAGAATATGTATGGTTAGTCTTAAATTATGGCAAACGTTAACCAGAATATATTTTTCTGATTCAATTTAATATGTATCACACAAAGATAGAAACATACTTTGTTCAATTCACTATTTATTTTTAGTATGTTTATAGTCTATAGGGATTCAGTTTCAAAGAAGAAATGAACATTACGTCACGCTTGATCGACTTTTATGAGAGAAGTATAATTTTTATGGGCGTTATATAGCGTCTAAGAGAAATGACTTTGTAAGTGAATTCATATATATTGCTCATCGTTTGATTAATAGACATGATTTAGTAAGACTATTGTTATACTACGATAATATCGTTCATCATTATAGTCTGAAACTAAAATAAAGGATCTGATATGAAAAATACGGTTGTAGTATATGTTTTAGATCAATAACAATCTCGATAATATGTGAAGTATACGTCAGTTACAGTCAACAATGAATGTGTGTATATATGAAATACACAGATCATGTATCAGATAACTTGTGACAGAATCGATGGAAGTGAATATAAAGAGACAATTCGCATTTGTCATAGATAATCAAAAGTTAAAAAAAATCTTAATAAACATAATTTTTAAGAGAAAGTTTTTGATTATAGTCAACGTTCACTTTTGGTATAATGTAAGTTCGAACTGTTTGATAGTAGTAGTACTATTGAAATTTTAAACACTCTCAACGGATGTGTCACTATTAGAGTTTATGCAAATTATAATCATCTTTCATGTCGACATTAGCAAATAATTTATATAATATATATTTCGCCATATTTTTGTTTTGTGAATAAGCATTCAAAGCAGGTGTTATTGATCTCACCATTTTTGTCATCATAAAAAGTAAAAGATAAGACAACACATTTGTTTCTTTTGAAACCCCTTCAAAGTGAAATATGCTGTTTTTTTCAATGAAACAACGGCTCTTCCATTATATTACTTGATAAAATAACAGTGCTTCGAAACTCTTACGGTCAAATAGAATTCGGTTTATTTAGCTTCATTTAAAGTAGTGGCAGACGTGCAGGAAATTTGTATTCTCTACTAGTTGCATAGATGAAACGTATATTCTTCGTCATCCTCTTATTGAATCGTCAAATCTTAATTATTAATTAATAGATAGATCGAACATTCCGAAAAAATTTAACTTTCATTGTCTACATTGAACATATTCAAAACATACTATAAATTAATACCAAAACGGAATAGTGGTGACTAATGGAACAATAATGTTTTGTAAAAATGAGATAGTTTCAAGAGACTGACTTAGCGCTAGTTAGCGCTCTTCTACGAAATAGTAGAAGTGTTTTCGTTTCAACTACTAGACAGTTTATTCAATCGTTTGTAGTATGGTACTACGTGTACTCGATCTTCATTCGTGTATATCAAATGCAAAGAAGAAAAAGTAAAAGAAGATTAAAAAAATCCTTTTTAATCTCATGCTGTCTACAACTTTTCATTTTGAGCTGAACATAGCCTAATGTAGAGGAAAGTCTGGGCTATAAAATGAGATCACTCCCAGCTTTCCATGACCTTCCTTGAAAAAATTATGAGCTTTTAAGTTTTTCATTCAAAACCTCAAAAATCTCAGCTTTTTAGGTTCGTAAATTTTTCTCTCCTTTTCTATACATTCAAAATTTTTTCTTATATATAGTATGATAGAAGAAAGTGTACTCTTCAAAATGATATGTCTTGTAGAATTTTCCGATGAGTTTTCGTAGAGATATGATCATCGCTGCAAATGCCCTGAAAAACACAGCCCTGTGTACAATATGTGTTTTTCTCACTATGCGTTTTTTCGATAGTCTCTTCGATCCAGTCACATTACGACCCCTCGAAAAAAATGGTTCGATCGAGCTCAAATTTTTACCACGGATACTTCAGACTCTATCTCAGGTTCTAAATTCTTTTTTAAACATTTTCGACTTCAACTTTCTGTCTGGGAAGGTTTTTAAAATCAAAAATCGGTTTTTTATACAAGAGTTTTAGCATTTTTTCAATACCCCAAGAAGGAAAACATTTTTCGGAAAAAAAATGTTGAACCTGTAATAGGACCTAAAGTATCTATGGTAAAAATTTGAGCTCGATCAGACCATTTTTTCGAGGGGTCATAATGTGACTGGATGAAAACTGAAGTTTTCCAGAAAACCCATAGAAAACGTGTCAGAAAATTCTGGGCAAAAATACATTGATTTTCTTTTTCGATATTCTATCTCTCTTATAAATTTCAGCTCAATCGGACGTGTGCTTCGCATTTGGCAACAAGATGAAAAAAGAGGGGGGGTACCCTCAACTATTGACTATTGCCAAGCCTAAGTCGCTCTTATCAAAAACTGTCGGCCGCTAACATTACTTATCACTCTCAAACAGTCAGCAAGAATAGTCAGATATCTATTTTAGTCTTTGAACATGAGTCATTCAGATATATGAAACAGTATGGCAAATGATAATTGTAGACTTAAAACACACTGATTCACATGTAATATTAAACGATATAGTCAAAAAATGCTTCTGATCGAAGCTATGAATCTACTTAGATCATCGGAATGCCTCAATTCAAAGTAAAGGGCACTATTTTTTACTATTAAGAAGTTTTTATACGAGAAAAACTCAATTTCATTCCTTGTATTTGTTAATGACATTAAAATTACTGAATCAACCGAATAGTGAGTTAGAATTGATGAAAATCTCTCTGTTTCAATGAAACGTCAACCAATTTTAACGCACTTTTTGGCTAATTCAATAATTCTAATGTCACTAACAAATGCAAGAAACGAAACCTGGTAGAAATTCTTAATACTGATCTTTACAAGTATCCACTTGGAATTGGTATATTCCTAGTCTAAGCTTTGTTGTATCCTAAATTTTTCTGGTTCAGTATAAATAATATCAGCAACACGTTTGTTTTGACAAAATTAAATTTTGAAAATCTTTTTTTTTTATATAGATCGATACTTAATTTCATTCATCATATAGCCTATTTTTTTTTAAACGAAAGTAAAACAACTCAAATCGACCATCCTAATTATAAGACGACAAAAATGCTATTCATTTTGTATAATCATTGTAAGCTCATTTCATTAATTTTATTTTAAATATTGAATGAATATATTTTTATGTTAGTATCTAGACACGTGCACATATAAAAAAGAAATACAATATTAAATTTTTATAATTAATAGGAAAAATTAGTAGAAAAAAAAAAGTGTTACCATACACAAGTACATATAGATCTTTTTAGAATTATTGATAGACAATACGAAGGTATAACGGGTTATGTATAAGTTTTGTAACAAATGTCGAGCGCTGTTTCTCTATGCTCCTATTGTTCTAGAGACTTTACTTTCTTTTTGTTTGAAAGAGCAAAGTCTAAACTACAAAAAAGTGTATCAAATAAAATTTTCTCTCATCAAACTTCATTGAGAAACAATTCAAAAACTATACATCACTAAAAATAGTCTGATTAAATTTTTACTAAAGCATATCAAGAAAAGTTTTTCATTGATATCAAAAATAATAACTTTTTGCTGAAACCAAATACAAGAAAAAATAGTCCGTGAAAAATTCTATGGATCTGATCTTCTTAAGAATTTTCAAGTTATTTTTTTGTGGTTTTCTGAAACGCTTTCTAAAAGTTAGATTTTCTGAAAATAGAGATTTTGCGTGTAACAATGGAGGACTTCAGCAAAAGCGTCAGATAAAATACGAAATGAATGAGATTAGTTTTTATTTTACATCAGATTGTAGAAAATTGTATGAAGATCATTTTACAGTTCAAAAAAACTGGAAAAAAGTTCATCTGTTAATTCAAAAATTGGCAATTAACACTTATAAACGGATTTTCTAACGGTCCTCAAATAAACGATTATTTCTTCACAGAAACTGAATAAAAAAAAAATGTATTGCTCACCATTCGAAAGAGCGTTTCAAATACTCTCAGATGTAATAATCAGTCATCTTTCAAGCTTATCCTTAAACCAGAAAGAACCGCTCCGAAGAAGATAGAAAGTGAATATTTTGACGATTTACCAGTACATTTTTAGTGATGTTTAGTTTTTAAATTTTTTTTAATGAGGCTTTGCGAGCGATATTTTATTTGATACGTGTTTTGTAGTTCAGACTTTGTTCTTTCAAATAAAAAGAAAGTGCAAGCTCCAGGATAGTAGGAGCATAGAGAAACAGCGCTTGATATTTATTGCAAAACTTATGCATAAACCGTTATACCACAAACACGTCATGATAATTGAAAATATTTAAATATAAAGAATTCAATGAAACAAGACGATTTTTAAAAGATGATCGTCAAAGTTATGTCTGCTTGTCTATCACTTCACTTCTATACACGTTCTATTTGCATTAGATATTCTCTTGTCATCGATTGTATGACAAGTTCAAAAAGTTATCCGTGTTACAATTATAAAATGTATCAGATAGTTATGCTGTCATAAAATCAAGACGATAAAAAATGTGATTGTTCAGATGTATATGTGAAATATTTTCTAAAATATTCTTGTTACATTTAATAAAATAATATTTTATAGAAAAAATCGATGAGTATTAACAATCGTTATGTTTAATGTCACATTACTTTAGAAGAACATTTTAGTTTCTTCTACTTAGATCAATTTAAAATTATTTTTTCATTGATGTTTGTACTATAAATCAATTTTCTTTAAATAAATATCGTATACATTGCATTTCTACATATTAACTTTTTATAGAAAACGATAGATTGCCTTCTTCACACTCTTAAAAAGATTGCATCTTATTCTTTGATACAATCTTCTGTGTTTTTTTTATCCATCTTATTTTTATAATAAATGTTGAAGTCAATCACCTCTCCTGTTTTCTGTTCATATAAAGAACGACAACTTTTAGAAGAAGAAAAAAAAAAATCTTTAAGTTTTTCTTCATTTTCTTTTAAACATAATGGGAGCTCAGTGTCCTGATCTAAGTACAATAATCATATAGCCTCATTCTCTACCCAAGCATGAACAAAAGCATCAAGCATCGTCCAGAGATGCGTCAATTCACTGATCAATACATCTACATAACTATTGCCTATGTATGAACATTTACATCGAGCTACTCATGTACTTAATATTGACAGTTACCGGAAAGTATACCGCCATTCAAGCACACAAAAAACATCGAGGATCACCCAATGCATCTCGGGGGTCAGTTTACTGGTCAACGCATATAAATGTTGCTCTCGATGCAACTAGATAGCATTGCCCATGAATTGACATTTTCATCGGGAAAAACTCGGTGCATTCAAATATATTGGGCAATACATGCCCAGCTAGCTAACTCGATACTCTAGCTGGAATATCTAGATAAAAGAGATCAAAAATATCGACCGATACTCCAGCTAAAACATCCAGATATTTCGGCTGGAGTACTTTTGCTTGGACATAGTAAACGAAAATACCGTTCGGTATACCGTCGGTAACCACGCGGTATGTCACTGTATACCGTCGGTATAACTAGCAGTACTGTCTGGTATTTTATCGTTATGAACACGTCGAACAGGAGTTCTTTTCTGTTTTTGTTGAGCATTTGTTAGCGCAGACAGGTTTTCGCTTGAGAGAAATTTGACTCAAGTCGAAGTTCAAAAGAAAAGTTTAATCTGGGGAAGAAAGTAAGTTCCTCGGATTTTTCTGTATTTCGTTTATATCTTCATGGGTGCAAATTACAATGGTGAATGGATAAAAACGGTTACCGTGCGGTATTTTCTTAGACCGCGGACTAATAAGTCACCGTCGGTTAACTGCGCCGTATACCGACGGTATTTTAAAAAAAAGCTCGACAGGGGTAGACTCGAGCCATTTAGATAAATCAAGTTTTTTTCCCTTGTATCTTTGCCCTTGCTGAAACATTGGGCAATGAATGCGCGCTTCATCAAGAGCATCTTGGATTTTTCCGTTCGGTAACTTTTGTTTTGTTAGATTTGTAAATTTCGTTCAAAATTTTATATGCATTTAGAAAACGACGGATGCGTCAATCCATCATGTTCTTCTGTCCTGTAATATGTTAAAGATATATGCAGTTAACTAATTCGTATAATAGTGTGTATTTTTAGAATATGATGTTGTTCATCAAAAGAAAAAAACAACAACAATTTTTGTTTACTATTATGAGTAAAAACATGGTCATAGAAGGATTGTTTACGTTTTTCAGAATATAATGGGTTAAACGAAGGTAGTCTGTCTCCTTTTTATACAAGCCTATTTTTTTCATAATCTCGTCCATTATACCATCACAGTTTGTTAGAGCATTTTATATTTTTCTTTCGTTTTGTACATTGCATATATCTCATACAGTATACGAGAAAGTCAGACCATAGTTCACCCTATCATACTGTATGTGTGCCCATTTTTTTCATCTGGGTTAAGATAGAGAGAGAGAGAGAGAGAAAGAATTTTATAATAGTGGATGATGGTTTGCTGAATCAAAAAGACAGACCGATAAAGAAGAACATAAACTTTCGCGACAATGACGACGTTTTTCTTTCTTTTTCTTCTGTCTCTCTCTTTCTCCTCTTTCTTCATTGTTTTATACATAATAATAATTTGTATAATAATTATTTTTGCGTTTTTTTTTTTGTTTTTTTTTTTTGTATTGTTGAACAGTTTTATGTAAAAGATGCTGTGAAGTAGAAGAAGAGAAATGTTTGTCTTATAAAAAAGAAAGAATATACTCATAGAGGCCGAAATAATAGAGGTTGTGTTGTGGATATTGTGGTCGATCGAAAGAATAAGAACGAAGTACAACCGTTTTGAAGATAAAGAAAAAAGAAATTTTCTTTTTTTGTTTCTCTATGGATGTGTTCGATGTATGTTTGTACTAGATACTATTGCTGTAATGGTGGTTAGTTGTTGGTCGCCGTTTACAACTCATCGATAATAACTATAAAAAAAGAAAGAAGAGGAAAAAAAGAATTACTAAAATTTACATTTCTCTTTCTATTTCTTATACAGAAGAGATGGAAAAATGAGAGAAAGAGGAAACAAATAATCATTGTCCTATTCGATAGGTCAAGAAACGGGCAGTAGTAGAGAAAGAGAGAATAGTTCAAGTTACTATTGACGTCAGAATACACAAGAGAGAAAAAAGAGAAAAAAAAAAGACGATGGCCATAAACATTACATAGTTATAGATATACACATTTTTTTTTCCTTTTTTTCCTTTTTTTTCTTTTTTTGTTGAGCATCTACAACTCTCTCGTTCTTTCTTTCTCTCTCTCGCTCTCTCGCTCTCCCTCTGTGTGGTTGCACCTACGGAACACACGCTCAAATACACCCACTCACATCCATTTAGTTCATATTCGGCTCGGCTTGATTGTACATAGATCAACAGAAGGTTCACTAAAATACATTTTTTTCATATATTTTATATAACTCGTATATTTTTTTCTTCTCTCTCTGCGTTTCTTCTGTACAACTGAACACTACATTACACATCAACAACAAAAACAACAATAATAAAACGACTAAAACAGTAACTACGCATAATACACACACACACACACACACACGCACACACACATACACACACATAAATAACTAAAAAAAAAAAAGGCAAAAAAATATATATTATTCCTCATATATTATTCGGACATCGTTCATACCATCACTATTATCATCATTAAACAATTATTATGGAAGATATAATTACTTAGGTACAGTAATTAAAAGAATTTTACATATTAAAGTTTGCTGTGTCGTGTTTAGACTAATTCGAATTAGTTAAGAGAATTTTTAACTGAAAAAAAAACAAAAACAAAAAAAAATAGATGATACAGGAAAATGAACAAATTAATAAAATAGTATAATGATAATTTGATTTTGTTTAAATTATCATGCAAAAGCAAAATTTAGTCCATTTTGTTTTTTTGCATTATCAAATAGCCTCCTATTTTTCTCGAAAACATGATTTCTATTTATAAAATAAAAAATAAAATAAAAATGTAGAGAAAATTGTTTGTTCAATGACGCTTCTGATAAAGAAATTCACTTGACTTCTACTCTATCGTGCTAGCTAGAATAGTCTACAATTTTATTTATTTTCAATAAAAATAAATAAATATTGTTTAGTCTCATTGAAAATATTATTTCTAAATGTTTTGTGTCTATGTTAGAGGTAAAGTAACTCCAATGATTTACTTTTAGTCTAGTTTTACACTATTGAGTCATCTACTCAATTTCATCTTTTTAATATAATTTCTATTTTATTTTTTGTTATCAACACAACTTATCATTTAAAAAATTGTCTTAACTTTGACTTAACATATGTGTCTCACTCTGTTTCTTTAAGAATTTTATGATTGAGAAACAAAAACAATGTGATAAATTAAACTTTTTTTGTCAAAATTATGTAATAAATGCCAAGATTAAATTTTCAAGAAAGTTTATGAAAGTAAATCACTAGCAGAATGATAATAAAAATTCAACATCATCTAGAGTTTGATTTTTAAATGAATATCGAGTACTGTCTAAAATAACTCTGATAATAGAAGTGTATACAACATTTGACGGATGTTTCAGAATAAATCGATCACATAGCATTTTACTCATATTTCAATGGGATTTTATCCCCTAAGCTTTAGTGTTTTCTTAAAGGATGTTTAAACATTTTTAATGTGGTGCGAAACATATCGCACTTTCTAGGCTACAAAACTATCATTTTCTGTAATGATTTTCTCGTAAACTAGAAGAGCTACTGTAAAATGTTACAATGAGTTGTTAGGCCGAATTAGTAAATGTCCTTTTTTGAGACTTTATGACTAATTCAATCATTAACCAGAAGGCTTGAAAGAAGGTGTTTTGAAGGTTTGAAACTTATAGTTTTGTTTTTATATACCATAAAGATAAAAGAATATAGAAGAAATACTGTGAAGCTTCAGTCTCGATTACTTTGCAACTCAAAAAAACAATGAAAAAAACATTTTGAGCACAGTGTCGTGCATAAAAGTGGAATCAGAACGTACGTTCTGGTGTTTCGAAGTATCATTTTTCTTGTCGCATACCACAGGTTCGGTTTAAATGTGTTTTTCTGACATAAAAGACGATTGTAGTAAAATTTAATAAAAAAAAAAAAAGGAAAATTTTGTCTTTTTCTCCGTGACATAGGAACGGAAAAGAAAATATTGAACATTCTCTGTATGGATGTAACAGAAGAATTATTTTACTTTAAGATAAAACAAATCCGATCTCAAATTGTTTGATTTTGGTCGAGTTATAAGAATTTTCTTAACTGCACCAAAAACTGTACTTGAAAAATGTTGATTTCGGCGAAAATCGATAAAAAAGAAAAATTCTTTCACAATCGATTATGATTACAAAGAATTTTAAATATAGCCACTTGATAAAGCTTTTTAAGGGCTAACATATAGCCATCTGCTTGTTTTTTGTTCAGCAAAATATGAAGGACTAAAATTGAAAAAATTGTTTTTTGAATTGCAAAGTAATCGAGATTGAAGCTTCACCATATTTCTTCTATATTCTTTTACCTTTATGGTATATAAAAAACATTTTTGTAGAAAATTGCACGGCGTATCGTTTAAGAAAAGAATAAAGCTTAGAGGATAAAATCCCCCTGAAATATGAGTAAAATACGAAGTGATCGATTTATTCTGAAACATCCGTCAAATGTTGTATTTCTATTTATTACTTTTGATTGAACCATTGCACCAAATGTTTAACATTCTATGATCAATAATTTTAATATTAAATCTATGCAATTTGTAATTAATTTATGCACACAGTTGATGCATACAATTGTTAGAAGAAGATTTTCGTTTTTCAAATGTCTATTTTTTTATTAAAATAGAATAGAAATTTCGCTCTATGTTTTACAATACAATATTTGCAGAGGATAGACTTCTATTGCGGATGTCCTTTTTCTCATGGTCATTGGTAAACACTCTTGTATCATGTTTTTTGTTTTCAATTGTAGAAGAAAAAAAAATGTATTGGCACGTGATTAATACGCTGAACATGATTCAGTGACACAAAATATTGCAAATTATTTATGTATGTACGTTTTATCAATAATTTTGTTTATAAAATTATTTTTCCATGACTAACTATTCTTAAATTAAGTTTTTGTTAGCGTAAAGAGAAAGCATATACTATCAACAATAGAAATACATAATAGTCTCTTATAAATACTAAACATAGTAGACGTTGGTATTTTAAAATTATTAATATTATGTTGTTTTTGAAATCAATGAATATTGTAATGAAAGTAAAATGTGGCTCCTGACGAGCTCACTGTATGAGGCGACATCTATAGAGCTCGTATAAAAAAATATGGATACAAAACAAAAGATTATGTTACACTATGCTCTAAATATTTATCATTTATTTTTATTTTTTTTTAGTTGCAATATTGTTATGGTTCATCAAGATTACCCGGGTGTGAATTTGATGCCACCACAATCCATGCATCCTGCATATTCATTCGTTACTCAACAAATGTCACCATATAAACATCATCATCATCATGCACAACATCCATCTCACATGCCACCAATGTATCATCAACAAGTACCAACAAATCCCTATTATTCTCATCGGAATCAAGCCTCTCTATTACGAGGTGGTATTGGTCTACCGTTACCATCTCAAGTATCATCACAACAACAGCAACAACAACAACAACAACAAGGAGGAGGACAAATGGATCAAAATCACAATCCACTTGATAGTAAGCATGTGTTATGAATAGAGATTGTATTCTAAATACGTGCATGAAATGAGTATATTTGAAAGTTCAATTAATTAGAAAAGATAAATGTGTCATACAATACAGAAGTATACATGAGAACAAATAGACTAAATACACTAATCAATTATAGATCTTCCTTTATAAGAGTCTTATTGTAATTCAAATAGATGATAATACCGTGCGATGAATATCATTTATCTTTTAAAATGAAAATTTTTTTTCAATGTTGATAAATAAGTTGTATTCATGAAGATAGACAAACCGAGAGAAACGGATAGTTGCTCGCGAGGACTAGTACTCGCTCGGCTAGGCCTCGCATGGGGCACTTAAACTAGACAGAGTAAAATCGTTTACAAAATATATTCAAACTAGTTGAAATTCCTTATAAATCTGGGAATCTTAAAATAGTTTGTAAAACATTTTTAAACTAATTCATAATTCTTATATTGAGTAAATTTTGTACCGTGAGTGTTCATAAACAATATATTTTTCGATTGGTACTGAGAATAGAAAGAATTACCACCAGTTTATCATTTTCACTACTTAAAATGTCTCTCACTATTTCTAAAAAGTCGAAAAACGCTCCATTACTTTTTTATAATGGCTTTTCTTATATTGTCCATTGCAAAAATAACGAAAAAAACTTCTTCATACAGACTTAAATGATATAGTATAAAAACGGTCTATGAATACAAGAATTATGTAGATAATCCACGTTCAGCATCAGTCCGAGAGAGTAAGTGTCAGCGAGCATCTATCCTAAACCCGAGAAACAGCATACAATGATTTTATTCGAAAAATTCTTCTCGTACTAAAAAATAATCCTTGGACATGAAATTCAACAGGCTTATTGTATCTGAATATATTTAACGTAACTATAATATAAAGAAGGAACATTGTTCTATATTTTATTCCATGGTATTTCTCACAAAAATATATAAAAGATCATTGATAAAAGTACTTGAGTTTAATTTAGTACTAAACTCAAAATTGAGCCTACTAGAACTAGGCATGCATCAGTTACAGTTAACTGTAACTGTAACTGTTATAACTACGTAATTGTTATATGTATAACTGTAACTGCTCATAACTGTAGGTAAATATTCTAGAGTGAGTTAGTTTTGTAATACGCAAATCGTACAAAACTAACTCACTCAGTTATGAGCAGTTACAGTTTTCACAGCTACGGTTATGACAGTTACAATTTTACAGTTACACAGTTATGGCAGTTACAGTTATCTGGTAAAAAACTGTAATTGGTGCATACCTAACTAGTACAGAATACGGTGAAATGTTAATTTCTATCTATTTTAAAATCATTTTAAAACACATTAACAGATTCACTGCCGTATACGTCAAATGACGTGTATTCACGTCATATATTTCAGCATATCTGTAGGGCTGTGACAGTTACTATTATCGTTCCAGTAACTGTAATTGCTGGTCGGTTACCGTTACTTGTACGGTAACTGCTTATCCGTTACCGTTACCAGGAACGGGAACTGTTCAGCAGTTACCGTTACCGGGTAATGGTGGTAACGGTAACTGGTAACTGTCACAGCCCTACATATCTGGCAGTGAATATGTTAAGTTTTTGAAGAACAGAAAAAATTTGCTTTTATCACAAATTTATTGGTCAATATTAGAGTTATGGAGTAAAAACTATTTATAGATAAATGAATTTCATAAAATTCACTCTCAAAACATAGTATTTAAAATTAAACAAAAAAAAACAAAACAAGACAGTTTCGTTTATTTTAATGCTAGAAGTATCGATTATACTTTCTTGAAGATAATAAGAGTTTCTTCTTGTATATGTTTTTCAATTCTCATAAAGTCATGACACAACAGTTCAAAGAATCATTCATGAAGAAAAATAATAATAATAATAAATGTTGTAAAATGAACTCGTTAAGAGTAAAAACATATTTTGTAATTTGTCTAATAAAGAAAAGAATAAAAAAACAAAAATATATTTTTTAACCACAATATTAAAGAGAGAAAAGAAGAAAAAAAAAATTATATCGAGAAATGAGTCGATATATCTCTATGTATACGAGAAAAGTCTACTCATGTCTAGTACATCGAAAAGGTTACTATAAACTCTTTTTTTTCTCTTTCCTTCGATACAATGAAGAATGCGATAAAGAAGAAGAAGAAGAAGAAGAAGAAGAAGAAGAAGAAGAAGAAAAAAAAATATATATATATATAATAGGATATATTTAAAAAAAAAATAAGAAGAAAACAAAGCAGCAAAATGTGCAACGTCATATATATCACTACATTATTCGAGAGAAAGTGAAACACATTGTTTTTATTGTTTTTTTGTACTGTATACCTTCATTTTTGTGATCAACTCCTCTCTACTTTTATCGTACAGATATATAAATTGAACAGTAAATTTCAATATTTTTTTTTTTATTTTCTTCCCTCAAATTAAGTTATATTAATGTTTACACAAAATTCAATGTCAACTTTACCGCGTAATTTTCCTACATCAACGTTAAAATCATTATTAGAAAATACAGAGTTAGCTGATATTTTATTTCAAATACGAAATATGTATGATGATGATAATGATTCATGTAAGTATGAGACGATACATTAAAATAGATTAATAATTTTACGGTTAATAAGTTCATATTCTTTTTTTTTTCTTCACTGTACTTTTTTTATACAGCATAAGATTTTGAAAATGGTTGACATTTCTATTGATGACTAAAAAAATATAGTTTAATAATATCTTATAAGATGAAAAATTGAAATTGAAGTTCAAAAAGTAAGTATATCGACGAATTTCTAAATTTTCTAAGACAAAATGTTTTCTTATTATTGTTGTTAAAAAAAAGTTTTCTTTTTTCACATGGGAGAAGAAAAAATTGAATAGTTTGTAGTATTGATGAAAAAACAAGATGCACAATGTAAATAATTAATAATTTGTAAAGAAGAGAAATGTGTATTTGTAAATGAAAATTAGTTTTAATATTGATTTATTTATTAACTAAAGAGGTGTATTAAAACTATTCGTTTTATAAATAGAGTTAATTTTCTGTTTTATCATTTATCCTAAAAATGATATCCTTCTATTCTTTCGATAATTATTATTTGATGGATAATAAAAATTGACTTTTTTTTATACATTACGAAAAAAGTTGAGATACTTTTTTTTGAACAAAATAATCTATTCTATCGCTAAATAAACAGCACACAATGAATTGTACATGAGCGTTTTTGAACTACGCTTACAAAAAAAACTGATTGAAAAGAAATATTAGAAAAAGATTCAAGTACAGTTAGCGTGTGCATCGGATACTATTTCTATTAAGCGATAGAATAGCTTATTTTGTGTAAAATTTATCTCTTTTAAAGCTTATCATATTGAAAAAATTTTAGACAATTGTTAAACTAGTCAGAAGATATGATTTGAGCGATTTCGAAAAGAGATAAAAAAAGAAACCTAATATTTCAGTTAAACTCTTACTGTTGAAAAGTTGGTGAAAAAGAAAAGATGAAAAGTTGACTATTATTCACACATTTAAAAGATTTTTTTTCCTTCTAACATGTAGTGAAAGATTTGTTCTCTTGAATAGTACACTGTACGTGTACTCATTAACTCAAGTATAATTTATTAATTGAAGAAAATATAATCGAACTAACACTAATTTCTGTTTGAGAAATAGTTAAAATTTAAGGGAGTTTTATTGTATATATGAAGAAAGAAAGTAGCATGAAAATTTGAAATTAAAATCATGACTGAAACTGGAATATGATAAAAACAAAATCACTTTTAACTATTTTCATAATATAGAAAAAAACCTCACATAAAATTATTTTTATCATTAGACAAATACTTGTATGGTTCACTGGAAGATACATCCTCTAAGTGCATTCGGGTTATTGTATACAAACCAGAAATCGTAGAACAGGAAATAAATCAATATTTGCACTTGATTTTTACTCAAAATATGATCAAAATACACACGTTTGTACTATTTTGCTAGTCGAGGAAAGAGAAGAGAAGGAAAGGAGAAGAGAAACATTATGTTTCAAGGCTAATAAGTAACTCATAGAATGACGTAAATACTAATTTGAGGAGAAGGGAAGGGAAATAAGTCACACTCTGAACGCAAATGTACTCATTGAACTTCGTCTGTTTGGAATGCTGAGAATTGTTTACCATATGTATATTATATCCAGGCTAAAACAATCATGTGACTAGAAGTTTTTATACACCTGGGATGTGCATGAATAAAACAGACTAAAATATGGTTGCTGTCGTCTAAAATAATATCATTTTACCTATCTGGATGAACTAAAAAAAAACATGGAAATTGTTGTTTAAAAAAATTCAAGAAAAATAATCTTTCATATATCGCAGATGTTTGATAAGTAAACCTATTGTACTTAACTATCCTCATAAATTATCATAAAGTATTTATATATCTCAACTATGATGCCAGTTCTTAAGTTTAAAAAATGACTATTTTAACAATCAACATATTAATCATTTGACGAAAAGAAGTGAATAAGGTGTAAAGAAAACAGCTGATATGTACGTCAAAATTGATGACTGTTACATTGAAACGATCTATCCTTGAATTTCTTTCATTGACTTTTATATCTGAAAACATCATCTCATATTCCTCGTTTCTGTTTTAGTGAAATCTGACAAAAATGGTCTAATGGGCAATGATTCTGGTATGAATAAAATGTACGGTTCACCTTATTTGGGTCCAAATTTATGGGAAAAAGATCAATTATATTCGGCAGATAAACTCTTTTCTGACACATCTAAACAATCATCTATATCATCATCTCAAAGTTCACAAAACAATACGAATAATCAACAACAGAGTCAAAATTCAAATTCAAGTATAAATTTTAAAGTTGAATCATTAGATATTGATGACTTTTTACATGAAAATAATTTAAATATCAATGATATTGAACCATTTAATAATTTTGAGAATTTAAATGGGACTACGTCATCGACCAATCAAGGAGGATGTCTAATGAATCAGCAGCAGCAACAACAACAACAGCAACAACAACAACAACAACAACAATTTTCTCAACAACAAACTTCATCATCATCCTCAAATAATATTCATCGTCAAACGATAACGCCTGATGGCTCCTCATGTTCTCCTATAACACAAATAAACTCACCTATGCAAGCCGCACCAGCCAGATCACCCATGCAAAATAGTATTGACTCATCATTAGCTTCAAGTAAGTTAATCTTCTTATTAAGATTCTATTATAGAAAGTTTTATAAACTAAAACATATCAGAAAAATCATTATTCTTTATTAATTATTTTCTAGGCCATGAGTCATATGATCAAAAATCACGAAAATATTCTGAAGAAGATTTACTTAATAAATCATCTCATCCAGTTGGGAAAAAGTCAAGAAAGGTAACACAGGATGCAAAAGTGCGTATAATTTAAAAATGTTTTCTAACACTTTATTAATTTATGTCTTTTTTTTCCTTCTTCCCGGGTATCTTATAATGAACAAGACTATAACCCTTCAATGTAGACTATAGATTGCATGTATTTGATACTAATATGTACTATACAATAATAACTACCTACAACATAGTAAAAATGATGATGATTATAATAAGCAGAGTAAGAGATCTATCTATAGCTTCCCATATATACTCTCTGATCTGTCTATCTCTTCTATTTTTTACTTGAATTTATTACTTGTAACTTAACTCTTATTTTTAATTTATAGCAATTTGTACCAGACGAATTAAAAGATGAAAAATATTGGGCACGTCGTCGAAAAAATAATTTAGCTGCAAAACGTTCACGTGATGCTCGACGTATGAAAGAAAATCAAATTGCATTACGAGCTTCCTATTTGGAACGTGAATCAGATGCATTACGAAAACAATTAGAAGAATTTAAACGTGAAAATAAAACATTAAGAATGAAATTAGCTCAATATGAGGGTACTACAAATGGGTCAAAATAGAAACAATTTGATTACCTTAAAAATAATCATCGTTTGTATTATATGTATTATTATTACTCTATTTTTCAATTTTCAATGATCTCTCTCTCTCTCTCTCTCTCTTTCTCTTTCTCTCTGTCTTTCCCAACATACACAGACAGTGTTTTTGTTCGAACAGTGACATATTTTCACAGTGATTGATTTATTGGTGTTTCTTACTTGATGTGCAGTGCCGTAATATAAATTAATTCAACGCTTGAACAACAGTGAAAAACAGAAAAAATTGTCTATTTTTTAGTTAAGTAGTTTAAAAAACAGTGACATACTATAAATTTTTTTTTTGTACATTATCTTATTATTTTGACTATTGGTTATCAATCCTAGAAGGAAAATAAAATAAAATTTCAACTATGAGAGAGAGAGAAAGAGAGAGAAAGCACGCTCAGATTCCTTGCCAGCTTTTTGTTTTTTTCTCTTCTTCTAGTGTGTGTGAATGTGTGTGCGTGTTTTTATTTTGGTTTTGTTAACTCATCATTTAATGGTATATAATATTATTTATATCACACATTTTGATCACCGTTTTATGTTTTTTCTTTTTTTTCTTTGGTTTTCTTTTTCATTTTTGATTATTTTAAAACGTCTATTATACATATATCTAAATGTTTTCTTCTTTTTATTTAATTTTACATGGTAATTCTTTTTGTCCATTAGAACAAAAAGACTAAAAAAAAAATTATTCGTCACGATGCTTTTGTTTTTAGTTTTTGTTTTTGAAAAAAACCACGCAACACTATTGCATTAAAGGATTCATTATGTGGCGCATACGTCTAGTACTAATGAAATGAGAAAAAGACAAGATAATATGTTCAATCTAAGATCTTATTAACTCATATATAAAAGGAGAAAATTAAAAATTGAGTTAGAATGGGACGAGTATATTATTCTAAACTTTATCTAGAAGTTTAAGTAGCCGGATTATCAGCTGTGGGACGATACAGATTTACAGTCGGCTTGTAGTTAATCATAGACGGGTCGTGATTTTCCAGTTCCGGTTCTAGTAAAAACTTTTGCAAAATACGAAAGGATGCAGATGCACACAATGAAGTTAAAAACAGCGAGTTGCATGATGATTTCTTTGATGATATATAAAGTTATTTCTTGAATAAAACTCGTTGTGCATTATAAGGTTTTTGATGATTTGATAAAGTTTGCTATCAGTTTATTCTAAAAATGTTCTATTTAAGTACACAAATTAGGTAAATTTTTAGCTATTTTTATGGATTTGTCAGAAAAAACTCTTTGTCCTGGTTTCTCTCATATCTACTTGTAAATGTGATCAGTGTCTCTCATCTTGGAAAGAAATATGGGTTAAAATACAAATATAAGAGGAAACTAGAATGCACTTGTGCTTTCCACAAGTTGCGATGTCGACAGACTTTGTATGTGCTGAATAATGACAGAAAGCGCTGCAACAGTAGAAGAGTTCATGATAACTGTTTTCAACACAATAGACGCCAGTGTACAGGTACTGAAGTAAAATCTGTCTTAGATGTAAACCTAGAAGAAAGAAATATTAAATTTTTGCATAATTAAGGCTAACTATTGTTTCTTCTTTCATCAGATATCTAAACGAGATATCTTATAAAGGTGAAGTCCGCAAGAACGGTAATCGGTCCACTAACAATTACTCCTCCAATCGATGCCAACCTCATCAGAATCACGTCCGATTATCATATTTGATGATTTCGACCCTTCCGAGCGCTTTCAGTCGAATATGCCCGACAGAATCTACTTCAAACCAAGGAACAGTTTAGCATCAACAGTATGGCTGTAAAATCAACACTCAGTAACCAT